CCCCCTCCTCGGGCATCAGCCTCCCCCAGCCGAGGACCCAGGATGGCTCTGCCGGCCTGCACCAGCGAAAAGCGGGGCTCCCCAGTTCTGCTCCGCGCTGACTCCTGGAAAACAATGGAAGGTGACGAGTTAGAGGGGAAACTTTGTGACGGCTCCACGGCTCGTAGGGGTGGGGACAAGTTTCTTTCCCTTTTCAGGGGTCTTCTAGAAGGCCCGTGGTTGGGGTGCGGGGTCCGGATGGGGCTGAGCCCCTCGCCAGAACAATGCTGTGCGAGGCGCTCCTGGCCCCCCCCTCCGCGAGCCCCAGAGACCCGGCCCGGCTACCTGGGAGGGGGCTCCCTCGTCCGCCTATTGTCTGAGAAAACTGAACATCTTTTCTAGTTTCCTTAAACAAAAGTACTTCCAGCTCGGGAATGATGTGTCCTAGTAATGCGTCGTCGTGGCCCAGGATGGCCGAAAAAGATCTAAAGTGGCTTTAAAAAACAAGCAGGAAGAAGTTCGGTCAGGAAAACCCCCTGGAGGCTTCTCTTTGCTGCCTGTGTGTGACTGTGTTGAATTCTTGCTTTGGGATTGCTCTTTGGCTGGCCCAGCCCGGTCGACCGTTTTTTTTAAGTTCCATTCCTCTTGCTTTTCCAGAGGGGAAAGGGTCTCCTCAGGAAACTTGTCAGTTAGGTTTGCTTTTCCCTAATTTAACTTTCCCTTTGATCTTCTAGATTCTGCTTTAGTCGCCTTTATGTTTTTGAAATCCAGCTTTACAACCAACTTCTCGGCGCCCCCCTTCTTGATTTTTCAGTTATTCAGAAAAAGTGCAGACTCCAGACTGCGTCCCAGAGCCGCGGGACCCGCGGGCCATCTTGTGGCTTTTCCAGACTGCATTTCCTTGTATGTGGATGGAGTAAGAGGCTTGTGATTCTGTCCCCCACCCAACCACATTTTTTAAAAGTGTAAGCGGCTGAGCAGGAGGTTTGGAAACAAGTCGTAACCGGGAAACTTTTCAAAAGGCTCTGTTACAGTAGGAAATGAGTAACGAGGAAAAAAAAAGCCTTTTTGTTTTTCCAAGTTGAGCCACCATCAGGAGGGAGAGTTTTAATGAAAACAGCCCTGACAGCAGCAAGCGTGGTTTAGCCCTGGCTCTCAAGCCTGTACTTCCGGTTCCTTCAGCTTTTGTGCACATATTGGAAATATTTGTTATCGGATCCAGAGTCTTGGCATGCTTTTTCTTTCTTTTCTTTTCTTTCTTTCTTTCTTTTCTTTCTTTCTTTTCTTTTCTTTCTTTCTTTCTTTTCTTTCTTTTTTTTTTTTTTTCCCCTCTCAAATGAACTGAGCAGAGTAAAGTCGCTCGCAGTTTGGTTGGTGTTGCTTTTGTTTGTCACTAACCCATTTTCAAAGAGCAGGCTTCTTGTCAAACTAAGCCAGTAGATCAAAGGGCAGGCATCAGGGGTTTTCTGTTTGTCTCCAACTCTTTTATTACCAACGTACAGTCGGGAATTCACTGTTCCATGAACAGATTTTCATTTTCTAGATTTAAAAAGAGAAAGAGGAAAATAAAAACCTCGGAAAACTCTTGTCTGGCTTTTCAGACGTTGGAGTTTAAACAAATTGCTTTATTCAGATTTGCTTTGGTTGTTCCATTAACCCGGCACGTGTTCAAAAGTGAGATTCCCCTCGTTATCAAAGCAGAGGTGCAACAGGAACTCACTTTATTAAGGTTTGATTTTCATATAGTTGTGTACCCAAATTTTGATAGAGGTTTTCGAAAGTTGCTCAATTTTCTCAGCAGTGAAACCGGTTTCGGTTTTAAACGTGCCCTTCCTTTAAACTTTGGGGGTTTTTTTCTTCTTTTTAGATACTGCTTAATTAAATCGTCGGGGGAAGGGAAACTTCAAATAACATGGCAGTTAAAGCGCTGGGATTCTTGTGCGGTTTATTTATGGCTGTTTGTTAAACCTTGAGCTGCAGTGACTTGGCAGAATTCGTCCACCTCCTTTGTTAGGACTTGCTCGCTCGGCGGAGGGTTTTTCCTTTCCTGTCGGAACGCCCTCCCCACACCTTCGGCCCCCTGCCGTCGGGAGCTCAAACTTTGTCACCACTCCCGGCAGCCCTGCTGGAATTCAGAAAGTGCTTCGGAAGCACGGATGGTTTATCCTGAGGAGGAGTATTTTGTTTTGTTATTTCCTGTCACTTCAAATTAGTCGTTTTTCTTCCACCAGAGGCACATACCACAGAGGAAAAGTTTACAAAACCAAAAATTCATACTTTTAAAAATGAATTTCCCTAATATTAAAGTAGTGATATTTTTAAAATTCTAAGTTGCGTTTTTAAAAATGTTTTCAACCATTCAGAGTTGTAGTTTTGAAGAGTAGGGCGAATGGCATGTGTTACTTAAAATTGTTAAGGTCCAAATGAAGCTTAAATGTGAACATCAGGCAGGTCTTGAGTTTTTATTGAAATCAGTGTGTCAGACTTAAATGTCCTTATGCTTGTGAATTCTTAAAATTTCTGATAGGATTAAAGTACTTTCAACCAAAAGAACTTCCCTTGGGAGACGCATATTCATTGTTCTTTATCCTGTAAGAATTTAAGTCTGAACTCTTAACTCTATTTGTATACATAGCAGTGTATAGGCTGCTATTAAAATTGGCAGCTGAAATTTATAGAATAAAGTATTAAGTTTATTCACTATTGGTTTCTGCTGACATCTCACTAAAGTGTAATTAGGAAAATACTTTTGTGCAGTGAAATTGAAAACTGCAGTGGTTATATTTAATTAAAAGTGACTAGTACTGTCCATTCAAAGTCGAGGCCTAATTTTGAATAAGTTAAATAGCAGTGAATAAGAAATGATCTTGGCATTAGCAGAACATCTAAAGTATTTTAGCTTTAGAATACTAACAGGATAAGTACGTAATTTTCCCTCCTTTATTAGCAGGGGGAAAAAAGTGCAAATCCTCCTTTTTATTTCAAACCTTGTGTGACAGGAGGCTTAACATTCGAAACTATCATTACCCGTTAGATTGTGATTCCTGGTTAGCGGTGACCCCAAGAGGTTGTTAAACACATTCTCACTAGTACAGTACTCTTTCCTGTTTTAAATGTAGCAAGTTACACCCTCTGAGTGCAGTCTGTAAACTTTGAGTGTTATCAAAGGGAATGTAAGACCAAATCCAGAGCACAAGTGTGAGAAACGGGCCGAGCATGTTCCTCTGTGCCGCCAGCAGCTGCATCACTTCAGGAAGCTTTGCTCGCTGCCTGGTGATCAGGACAGAGAACACCCATCTTTCGTTTTGCTCTCCGTCCTTGGGAAAACTCAGTCACGCTGACTGGTCGGTTGGTGGGGTCGATAAGCTCCTGCCCGGCGGGTGAGCAAGTGACAGCTGTCTTTGTCCTTCCGGAGGTGTCGTTGCAGTGTCTGGGAGTGAGACTGAGGATGAGGACAGCATGGACATCCCCCTGGACCTCTCCTCCTCCGCCAGCTCCAGCAAGAGGAGGAGAAGGGGCAACCTGCCCAAGGAGTCTGTGCAGATCCTGCGGGACTGGCTGTTTGAGCACCGGTACAACGCCTACCCTTCGGAACAGGAAAAGGCACTGCTGTCCCAGCAGACACACCTGTCCACCCTGCAGGTACGGCCAGTGCTGGGGCTGGGTGGGGCCCAGGGCCTTGGCCCTGCTGAGCTCCCCCAGGCTCTGCGTGTTTTTATTTTCCAAGTCATTTTATAGCATGAAGCGGCCTCCCACTCAAAAAAGAAGGAATACCTTTGTGTTGTAAACTTTATAGTGCTAAGAGCTAGTGGGTGGGTATTTAGAGAGAACAGAAACACTTGACAGTCACCTGCCAAACAGCATTTCCTTTAATGCCTGAAAGAGAGCTTTCCTCTGTGCTAGGCGACAGACAGACATGAAAGGGAGGCGAAGCCTTCCTCTTTCGCCCAGGAAACTGGTTTGAAATTTAAACAGGACAGGCTCGAGTGAGGTCATTCGCGTTGGGTCTGTTGACACAGTCAGTTGAACTGGGAGAAATCAGTTACTGGAGGTGTGGCCCTCTTCGGGAGGAAAGGCTCTCCCGGTAGCTGATTAACTCCGGTGCCGGCCAGCAGGTAGCAGGGCGCGGGGAGGAGTTAAAGGTAAACCTTCTGAGTCACTCGCGGGAGCTGGGCCCTGCGTACCTTCCTCTCCCGCTGCCAGGGTCGAAGGCCAGCGAGCCCCTGAGCAAACCTGGTAGGCAGGGAGGCCCTGCCCGCCGTTAAAGGTCCCGCTGTGATTGCAGGTGTGCAACTGGTTCATCAACGCGCGCCGCAGGCTGCTCCCCGACATGCTGAGGAAGGATGGCAAGGACCCCAATCAGTTCACCATTTCCCGCCGTGGGGCCAAGATTCCTGAGGCCGGCGCTCTGGAGGCCGCGACGGGCGTCAGGAACTTCCTGCCGGCCCTGGAGGACAGCCCGGCTCATTCCCTGGCCGCCGGACCCAGCCCGCCCCTGGGCC